GCATGTTTTAAAACATTCACCGAATACAAAAAAACTAAATAACTAAAAACTTCCAGCTTTGATATCTCGACTTTGGGGGACTATAAGTCAATGAATATAAAACTAAAAAAGGCAAATTTATAGTCTAAAATCATGTACAAACTCTAAACTACATATTGGAAGAAACCGCATGTCAATCGGAGTTGAAACGAATGAGATATGCATCTTTTAAATGTTTCACAAAAACCGGTTCCGGCCATAAGAGTGGTTGCGCTTCCAAACACCGGTTCCGGTTTTTAGACCCAGTTTACCCGGACCCGATGGACCCTAACCCGGATTACCCGGAACCTGAATAAAGTCAATTTTTAAACCCGTAATCGGAACCGGTTTTATATATTCCGATTCTAACGGTTCCAGTTCCGGTTCGGTTTTCCGGTTCTAAATCTCATCCCTAGCCTGAACTATGTGGAAAGGTCGGTCTCTATCTTGGATAGGAAGACAAAGGGTCTTCGGAAAAAGGAGGTAAAATCGGTAAAGGTGCAATGGCTGCATCGGAAGGGCTCTGAATGGACTTAAGAGTCGAAGGAGGAGATGCGATAGCATTACCCTGATCTATTTACAGCTGCGGACTTCGAAGACGAAGTTGAGTTCAAGTGGGGGAGAGTTGTAACGCCGTAAACCAGGTATAGCTTGAAACCCTTGAAGAATTTACATTTTGGCATAATTGGTCCTTTAAGTACGCTGGCCGTACTTATGTGTACGCTTAGCATACTATGCATGGGTGATCGCGAAGGAGTTGGATGTACCAGGCGTATGTACCAAGGGTGCAAACCCTAATTTTTAGACTTGTGACCTACTTAAACACCCTTAACTCACTTGATCCTCAACCTCACCATCTCTTTTCAACTTCAAACATTCCTAGAAGCCCTAATATCCTTGTGAGTGCATTTTGAGCCTTGAGAGTGAAACTGTGGTCCTTTTGTGTTCATCCAAGAAGAAGGAAGTGGTCAAGGAAGCTTGGGGTGTCATTTGGCTTCAAGAATCTGCATATAGATGACCTTGAGGAGTTCCTGGAGGTAAAAAGATTGCATCTTTCCATTTAAATCTCTAGATCTAGCTAGGGTTTTCTAGCTTTGTTCCTTTTGTTGATTTTGGACCTCTATTTGTGAGTTTAGCAACTCTAGAAGATGGGAATGATAGATCTAAGGTCCCTTGGTCATTTAGTATAATAAAAATGGAGTCTTGGTGGGAGTTTTAACCTCGTGCATGGGTTAAGAACCTTCCAAAGGTCTTAATGGTGGTGTTGGGTGCATATATGGCATGCAAAGGAATAAAGTTGCCAACTTTATGCCTCAGGACGTTTGAACAAACTTAGATCTGACTTTTGGACTTAAATGAATCAAGTATTAAGCACTTAATGGAGAAAGTGCTTAACTTGCTAGTACGCTGAGCGTAACCCGGTGTACGCCGCGCGTAGTCCCAAGACCTCGGTACGCTGCGCATACCAGGATGGTACGTCGAGCGTACGAATCACAAATGGACCTGAATCCGTTTTGGGCCTTTGAGCTATGAGGCCTCATTTGATTATTGTACTTGGTTGCATTCTGTGAATTATGGGCCATTTCATCTATTATGTGCCATGGATATATTGGTTGGGCCTTATTGGGCCAAGAGGCCTATTAATGATTTTGGACATGGAATTTGGGCCCATTAACAAACAGAGGATGATTGGGCCTTATGGAAGGATTTGGGGTTGGGGTTCCCTGTTTATTAAGTAGAGTCCTAACATTGATTAATATTATTTTCAACATGGGAGGCTACATATTGTTAAGAGAAAAACATTCGCATTCAGCAGATAGAGGTCCTCACCATACCAATGGGTCTAAGGCACCAAGCCCGACCCATTTCATGATATGTAGTGTCCTCGCTGTAATAGTATTATTTGGTATGATATTTGGTATGAGCTATGAAGTATGCTTGTATTATATGTGGCAAATTGGTATCGAAGATCATAGGAGAGCCCATGACACTTGGATGTAAGACCATGTGGGGAGCCCATGGCTTTCCTATCGAAGACCATGGGAGAGCCCATGGCTTTCCTATCAAAGAAAGTGGGAGAGCCTCTGGCAGGTTGGCACATAGGTGTAAGACCATGTGGGGAGACCATTCCATCCTGGAGTAAGACCCTAGGGACAAGCCCACGACATCCCTATCTGTTGTATGCATGGCTTTTGTGATTTGTATAGCTATTTAGCAAGTATGTTATGTTATATGTGATTGTGTCTGGTTATGCTCTAAGTCACCGGACCGATCCTAGCAAGGACTTATAGAGTCTGATGTATCTCGGGTTCTATTTCCCACACTTTTCCAAGTGTATCATCCTTTTTCCAAAGGAGAGGCCGTTAGTAGTATGTGATTACCGACTTTGCATACTAAGGGATTCCGTTGCTTACTTGCACAACCCTTTTTTTCAGGTTCTAGATACATCTAATCGTGGCCAAATTTGTGTGATTTCTTTCGTTGTTACTCTGGTGATTTCGGGGATGGTGACAATGTCATAGGGTACTTGCCCTTTGGCTAGCCGTGTGCTGGTGATCTCAACCCAACACAGGGATGGCTTGCATTTGCGTCATACATGGTGAGGTGAGTGAATGGCCATGGCTATTGAGGATCTGTGTACTTAACGCCCCAAGATTAGTGTCTCTAAACCTTAAGGTGAAAACTATTGTCACCAAATTTAAGGTTACGTGTGGAATAGTTGGCCTTAAAATTCTTAGGTTGCCTCGGGAGTTTCTTCCTACGAAGTTCTGAGCTAGTGGTATGTCGTCTTTTTCTAGTTTCTTAAAGTCGGCCAAATAGGTTGTCGATTCGGAATAGAGGATATCCATCCTTGATGATGGGCTTGTTTAACTCTTAGTAATAAGTGGTTCTATGGACAATTAGCCTTTCCTTTTCATGAGTCGGATGGGTGCTCTCTTAGGTACGAGTCTTGGTTTGATAATTCCCTTACTTATTGGTTCGTTCTATTGACCGAACACTTTATATGTTTATGTTGGTGCTAGGTGGTATTGGGGATTTGGCTATGGGAATGGCTCCATGAGTTGAGTCGATTCCGAACTCAACGTGGCATATAGGTGATATATCCGAAAGACCTTCTGGGAACTACTTCAGAAAGGTTATAAATCCTTAGGTTACTTTTGGTGTCCTTTGCTTCTTGTTTCATATTTCTACTATGGGCTAGGAAAGAGTGTGGTACCTCTTGCATGGGTATATATGTGTCCGAATGCAAGAGATCAATTCGTAGGTTTGTCATTATAGGTTGAAAAAGTTTCATTAATTGGTCGGGTAAGGCGAAAGGTCTCTTTGCAGCACATGAAATTGATATGGTGAGGGTCAAGCCAGCCCATGCCAAATTACTACGATGGACTTCTCACTACAACAGATGTTAAGTCGATTTGGAAGGGGATGATTGTTTGGAATGATAGTGGGTTCTATGTACATGTTTTTAACGCTAACAGTTGCATCCTTTTTACTACCTCTACGAGTATTTTGTACCGGATTTAGGGTGTTATATTAGGTACAAGTACTTGGATAAATAATGAGGAAATCTTGTAGTATGTTTCCTACTAGGTCTCTCTATAATAATTTGGTGTAACCTAGTCATATATAATTAAGATTGAAAAGGTATTCGACTGAATGGCCTGCCCAAAAACCACCACCAAACAAGGAATATGAATTAAGGCGGAATCACACACTCTAAGTCTATAGACTCCTAATTATATATGACCGTACATTTATAGCTCACTTTCTCTATGAATGATATGACTTGTTCGGATGAGGGAACAATTTATGATTATGATTTTAATTGGAAATTTTTTTGTGAAAATTCAATGCTTAATTTTTGGTGTTTGTAAACTTACCGAAAATCCCATTAGGGTTCCTTGTTGCTTCATCCTGTCCTGTTGTTAAATTTCTTCCACTCCTCCGTCATTCCTCTTCATTGTACAATCTCTCTTAAAATGTCCTGCTTCACCGCATGTGCGGCATTTTGGGTGTACTCCAGTATCGGGGATTGGGGCGATGCATCGGGTCAGGGTCTTGCAGTGGCATGCGTTGTAACCCTTCTTGTTGCACCTTTTTCAATGCAACTTTCGGCAGACTCCATTATAATGGAAACTACACTTGCAACATTTTGGGAGGTTTCGAACATATGGTTTTCTCAGTGTGAAGGTAGTAAGGTCAGTGGGGGTATGGGCTTCTACAACTTTTTGTCTTATGGTAGGTCATCGATTCTAACTGCTCCCTTTCCCGTTATAGGACTTTCGTTTCTTGTTCTTCGGTTTGTGGGTTGTGGTATCCTTGTAGGTAGCCATTTGTTGGTGCACTTGGTTATTATTGCAATTAGAATTGTCAACACCGATTCTATTTTTGTTTGTGTTGTGGGTGTTGAGTTGTGCCATGACGACTGTCACTACAGCTATCACTGCGGCTTGGAAGGTAGCGGAGTCTATCCGTAGGATCGGTATTTCGCCAGTGTGCTGGTTGTCTCCACGGAAAGACATGATTTGGTTGTATGATGAGAAACGAGTTCTTGAGTAACTATGGTTATTTCTAGTTGTATTTCGTCTATATTCATAGACATAAATTTATGTATGCACACAAAGAAGTCACGTGTTTCGTTGTATGATTCTAAATGTTTTCGATCTACATTTCATTTGATGTATATTTGGTAATAAGTATTAGTAGGTATTGGATGATCGTTATGTTTAACAAAAGACGATATAGATATTTGTACAATGAGTTGATTTGGACTACATGGATTCTTGGAGGGCGTACCTCTCTTGATTTACTAATACAAGTTGTAACAAAATACATAATAAACCTAGGACATAGTGCGAGTTATGTAGTGACGCTCCTATGCTGAAATAACACACAATGTGCTCAACCATTTCACTCATTTCACGAGTGGCCTTTTTCGCCCTCTGCTCTGCTAAGGCTGCCCTAGCTTCGGCTGCAATGAGCTATTGCCTTATGGTGGCCACTTCTTCCTCCAGAGAGCATAGACGGTCGGTAGGGTCCTCCTGCTCTACGTGTTGGTTTGGTATTGCTCCAAAAGGGTAAGGCTTGCTAAGGATCCCTCTGCTGACTTTATCCTCATCTGACTCCTTATCAAAATTCTCCCCCTCGTACTCAATTTCTTGGGATTCATCAAGACCCAATTTTGGGTTTTCCTCGTGAATCTCTTCTTGCTCCTCCTCGTTCCATTTATTGGCTGCTATGATAGGGTAGTAGGCGTCTTCTTGGTGAAATTCAGCCATGTTATCTGTGCGAGAATAAAGGTATGAGAAACATGTAGGAGATTTAAGTGTGGGAGTTATACGGTATCCTAAAATACTCTTATTGTATTTTAAACTTTATGTTCGATTCTAATATTAATTTGCATGTAAGTGTTGGATATAGTGTCTAAGTCCATAACTATATTTGGTATGTACTTGACCCGACCTGGCATGGTCCATTTGGGTTGCACTTCACCCGAACAATTTATGGATAATATTTGAGAATAGTACAAGTTATGATTTAATAATATATTATAAGTTCTAATATATTAATATAAGATCATATTATTTAATTAGTATTGATCTATAATTAATCTAGGATTAATTTAGAGATCAAAGATATTACTAATTAAATATGGGCTTCTATATTTATGTAGTGTGGGCTAATGCTTATTTGGAATGGGCTAGGCTTGCATGGAAAAGTCCATGGATACTCCATGGAGCTTTAAGCTATGGATCTCATGGAAATGAAGAGACATGGGTATTAGGGTTTACATGGATGTAACCCTAATCCACCACACTATATAAAGGAGGCTTTGGTTCTTAAATCACACTAGTTGACACTTGTTGAGGTGAGGGCCGATTTCAAGATAGTAGTGACTATTCTCTCAAAGTTCCAAGTTTGTGGTGATTTGTGATTTCCATTTGAGGCATTCACACTATTGGTGCTAGGCTCTAAAACTCCAAGCAATCAACTACTACTACAAGGTAAGTATTTCTACTAGCTTTATTTGATTCATGTTCCCCATGCCATGCTAGTTAGGATATGAACCTTGGAAAAATAATTATTTGCATGTATCTTAGACAAACATAGATCCAAGGTTTATTAGGGTTGCATGTACACTTAGGAAGTGTTAGAATGCTCAAAACCCATCAGTAAGGTGGGTAAGTTTTAGTCTTGTTGCAACACCACTATCACTCCCAAACACATGTTGGTCGTATCTTGAATAAATATAGTGATCAGGATATATTTATCCCAGATATGATTACATAATTGTCTAGGTTTGACTATAGTGTCCAACATCTAATTACTTTGGTTTTTTTTTTCTTATCATGACGCTGTCGTAGTATGTGTGTATACTTTAATAAAAATACTTATACATTTAAGGTATACTTTTAGTCAAAGTGTTTTAGTCCCACTGTATTTATAGTTATATATATTGTACGGTTTGATAAACCAGTTCACTATAAATAATGCTCTGATACCATTCTGTCACACCCCCGAACCAGGACGCCGGAAATGTCTGGGGGAGGATGACATCACTGTATAATATCATAACAATTGAATATGAATGAAACACAACAACTAGACAACATACATTGAGATAAAAAACTTACACTGTTCACATATTGTATTTGTTCATCAGTTACACAAAAGTGAAATTTCATAAGGTTGCACCACTTTATCTTGTAGCAGAGTTGATTACCGTTTGCTGGTTCCCTGAGAATACAAGTCGTTTTAAAGGCGTCAACTTAAAAGTTGGTGAGTTCATAAGCATTTTTGTATAAAATTTTTTTTGCACTTGATTAAAAAAGGTATCGTAGTACTTTCAGGGAATCTGATATTTTCTATGAAAATGATTTGGAAGTCTCCTTCTAAAACCGTGAATATATGCATGCATGTCCTTTGTTTTCTTTTGTTTATATTTGTAAAGAGTGTGTTCACAAAAAAATCCAATAGTTTGATTAGTATGAACTGAAATCGAAGGTAATTTTGTTGTATCTCTGCCTTGTAAAGTAATAATGTATAACTCCAGAAAATGCAGTATTTTCTTAAAGGTGAACTGTTGTTTTAAATCCTAAGGCCACGATGGAAGTGAATATCATACAGAAAATAGTTTATGGTTTCTGAAAACCTTTGTTGCTCTTTTCTTTGCGATTATAAGGAGTGTATTCCCAGAAAATCTCCTATATTCCGATGCATGAAAAACTATAGTCTTAAACCCTAAGACCAGAAGTATAAGAGACTAAATACTTGAAAAATGATTTGCTACTATATAGTTTAATAAAACAAATGAAGTGTAAGCCTCCCATAAACCGAAATAGTATGTTAATCCCTGTGTGAGCTCTTATAACCATACTAATGTGAATGATATACCTGAACACGACGTTCTTCAAAAGTAGGAGCTGGGGGACCTTTGTCACCCTAGACACGCCAGTCTAACAGTAGCGAACAGCTGAGGTGTTGGGTTGTCAATCTCGTATAGATCTATACACAATGGTCTCGCTCACCCTACAGGAGACACTGGTTATAATGTAGGACTTACGGTATATACTAGGTAGGTACGGCGAAGAAAAAGTTTCACAAGAGCATTAACTAATTTACGCGAACTTTGACTCCACTCGTTGAATAATGAAAACAACACTACCAGAGTAAATTTATGACTGAAGTTTTATGACACGCGTTTTACAGCTTTATGACATACAACTTATATCTTGTACTTTTAAAAGCTTTATGATCGGCATGTTATGACACACAAATTTTTCTGTCGTATAATTCTGTTTTGTATATCGTTTAGGTTAAATGATTTATAACACTTTTTATAAAATAATCATTAATGGACTTGTCTACTTGTAATATATGTTTGTGTAGATAGCATTATCCTCTAAGTTTTTAAACCATTAAAATGATGACAACATATTACGACCATTTTACTAGAAAACTCATTTCTAACAAAATAAACAATTGTTTTAGTTTGTTCAACATACCAAAATTTGTTTGAAAGTTTTGTAAAACAACATATTCCATTTTGTTGTGACCCCAACATGTATGATTTCCACAAAGTACACATAATATATTGAAATTTGTCACATCCAAATATCTGCGTATGTATAAGTGTTAAAAATGCATACATATGTCCCAAAGTTGTCCATTTGTGAGTGTAACACCCATATTTTTGCCATTTTAGGTGTTTTAACATGACCCTATAAACTTTTACAACACAAATATGTTATTAACATTTTCTTTGATTTTTAATATACACTAAGCACCCTTTTTACTTGAGAACTTGTAAATCTCGAGTTTATAGAGTGTTAGCATGAAGTATTCAACATTTCAACCATAATATATAATATGCATGCTATTACTCAAAGGTTAAACACATTACACACTCGTACATGTAATTATTCAATGGTTAGACCAGATTTGTCTTGTATCCTCCCCTCGAAAACATGAAAAATATGAAAAATTCGCGGGTATGAAGCTTACCTTGATGATTTCGAGTGGTAGAAGAAGAAGAATAAGGAAATTTTCGAGCCTAGTCTTGTGTCTTGGAGAGATTCTCGAAGATGGTGGTGTTTCTAAGAGCTTAACACACAACAAAAATGTGTAAACAAGAAGTTCTTGAATTAGATATGTATAGAAATCACTTAAGTTTAAAAGAAACTTACCAACCTTATGAATTGTTTGAAGAAAGTCTTAAGGATGACACTACACACCCACGAGTTTTTGAGAGCAATAGAGGAGGATTCTTGAGAGCAATGTGCGAAATTGAAATTGTTTTGTGTGTATGAGGGTGTGGAGGTTTCGGCCGAGAGATAAGAGAGAGGAGAGGAGGAGAGTTGACTTATCTCAATTTTGATGGGATGTATGCCTTGATACATGCAAGTCCATAACTTTGTTCCATGGGACATAATTATGAGGTGTCAAGGTATTTTCCTTAGCCTTTTTCTGTTTTTGATAAGCCTTAACTGAACCCTAGGGTTCTTGGCCCAAAGGGTGGCCCAAAAAGAGTGGTTTTGATTTTTGGTTTGGCCCAATAGGAGTTTTCGATCCATTAAAGCCCAAACGTTGGAGTTTTTGACCCAATAATGCACGAGGAAGAGTTTTGTAACATACACGTTTTGAAATCGTGTTTTGTAATGAAAAATATTATGAAATATTATGTGATTTTGAGTATTGAGTTCTAATATATAGTTTTTACTAGAAATACAGTAAAACTATGTTTAAAATCACTTGGAAAATATTGGAGAAGTCTTATAAGATTCCAATCTAATGTCAAATATTGAAATTTAGCGAAAATATAAAATTTGAAATAAGTGAAAATTTATTATTGAAAGTTGTATAGAATCTCGTTAGAAACATTTAGACGTAAACCTCATCGAAATCCGAGATATAACGAACAAGTTATGACTATTTGAAGATTCACGACAGAACCGGCACGACCTCATATGCGTAAAAAGTGAGTTTTTTTTACAAACTTCTTTTTAGCCTATATAATCTAAATCAAAGTTGTAGTATTTGTTAAGCCGAGAATTTTCATACAAAGAACGTCAAAATCTAACATCGTATGAGGAAATTAAGATTTTTATAAGTTTCAGAAGAGAAGTAGACAGCTAAAAACTCAAAATAAAGATTGAGTGATTTTTAGCCGACGCAACCTAAACGAGAATCGAAGTTCTCGTCAATAGTAGTACAACGGTAAAAAGACAGGCGAAAGCCGACGTCGGATGAAGAAATTATGAATTTTTAACGGACTTTTCCTGTCCCGCCCCTTAAAAATATAATATTAAAAATGAAATCAAAATTAGCCAACGAAATCTAAACGAAAGTTATAGAGTATAATCTCACCTATGCGTGGATATAAAGAATGTAAAAATGGATCTCATACGCAAAAGATATGAAATTTTAATGTTTTTAAATAAAATAAATGAAAACTCGAGCCTTATCCGAGGAGGTACGCCCAGCATTCGCATGGCAGGAACTTGGATTGACCACTTCTCCAATCTTCGCATGCGAGCCACATAACAGACACGTCTGAGACACGTGCCTTCCTTTTCGAGAACCGGACACATAGCCTCGTACGCCCCACGTACATTGAGACTACGTCCGACGTAGTAAGGTGCTTCGCACCCTATAAAAGGGATGCGAAGTCAGCCGATTTTAGGTTACAAATTCTTACTCTCTTTCACTCTCTAGCCTCTCTCAAGCCCCTCTAACACCACCGAAGTCCCGATATCATACTCGACACCCGAAGCAAGTC